ATTTTTATGTTGGTTGTTCCCTATTGTGCTTGAAACACGTCCAATTTGAATAACTAATAGCTTAAATGAAAGCCGTTATTTCACTGAAGGTTCTTAGACCAAAATATGTAGGATTATATGATTATAACTGGTATCTTAAAATGATGTAAGAATTCGAAAATGAATGAAATTATGTTTTTAGTCAAGTAATACAGTAGGTAAATATATGCCGATGCTTGATGTGAAATCTGTGCGTGCATACCTTCAATTTGAGACTTCAATCATGAAAATCGGTCGGGTAGAAGAGCCAAACGAACTCGGAAAAGAGAAACCAAATTTAACTCCCATAAGAAATACACGGGGAGCAAATTTTGTTTACCTATAAGCCGATTAGGATTATATATAAATATATGCCGATGCTTGATGGCAAATCTGTGCGTTCATACCTTCAATTTGAGTTCTCAATCATGAAAATCGGTCGGGTAGATGAGCCAAACGAACTCGGCAAAGAAAAACCAAATTTAACTACCATAAGAAATACATTGAGAGCAAATTTAGTTTACGTATAAACCAAGTGAGACTATAGATAATTATATGCCGATGCTTGATGGCAAATCTGTGCGTACCTACCTTCAATTTGAGACATCAATCATGAAAATCGGTCGGGTAGAAGAGCCAAACGAACTCGGCAAAGAGAAACCAAATTTAACTCCCATAAGAAATACATAGAGAGCAAACTTCGTTTACGTATAAACCGAGTGAGACTGAGACTATAGATAATTATATGCCGATGCTTGATGGCAAATCTGTGCGTGCATACCTTCATTTGAGTTCTCAATCATGAAAATCGGTCGGGTAGAAGAGCCAAACAAACTCGGAAAAGAAAAACAAAATTTTTTAAATATATAAGATTCAATATTACATTCAAAACTAGATGTCTTTAGATTTTTTGAGATTTTGCTTTAAAATAATGCTATCAGAACATTACAATTTATAAGAAAACTTGGAAATTTACAACAAAAACATGGAATATTTACTGCAAATATCAAGTCTTTTCTTTGTTATTGTCTTATTATTCCAAATTAGCCTGATAAAATAGTGAGAACAATACAGTTACAATTCAACAACAGGTAATGGAATTAAAAGGCAAAAAAGGCTTACAAAATGCAAATTATTGGCCTAGCACTCAAATATTTAATGAGTCATATAAAACTAAAAAGTAATTCAACTATCATTAGAAGAACTAAAAGTATCTGAATCAATTAGGACAGGATCCTCTATAGAAAAAAAATCTGGATAGTTGGATTTTCCAAGAAAAGAGTAGGCCTATATGATACAGTATATATGGACCTATATGCCTATAGGATTACGTGCCGGAAGCGACCGTGCCAGAAGCGACCCAGCAAAAATCGTGCCAGAAGCGACCCTGGTAGTAGCGTGAGTGCCACTAGCGACCCATTGTTTGATAAAGGGTTTTACAATGTTTTGTTCAAATCGGTGTTAATGGCTTATAAACAAATCCTATTCTTGTTATAGTAATATGTACCACCTGGAAGAGCCCAATATTCGCCTATAAATTCGCTTATAAAGAGCTGTTTTAGCATCTCTAGTTACCAGCTGCTAGCATAGACTCAAGTTATGTGTAGTAACTTAATAAAACAATTTTTCTTGAATTTTTATCATTTTATAAAAGCCAAATATAATCAATTAACTTATATTTTCTTTATTTTTCAATTTATTAAATAAATATGTAAATATGAGATGGTGGATGTGTGTTTGTATAGGTCTACTACTTAATCGCACGGGAACCATTTTAAAAGATCTAAATAAAACTTCACATGGAGGTAGTTTATCAAATATAATCAAAATAATGTTTATTTCAGTAAGTAAAATACTATGTTACAATACTTTGTCAGTACATATTTTATAATTATGCCATAGTTATGTAATAATATACTGACATAGTCATTAAATATGAAATCCCCCTCACATAGGCTACTGTCCGTGCGTGAGAAATTTCCTCTATCAGTAAATAAATATTCTAAATTGAAAAAAATTGATATTTATAAAACGCTAGCTGGCCCGACAGACGTCGTCCTGTCCTAATGTGGTTTTATGTCAAATGCTTGTTCTTTTTCAAAATTCAAAAAGCAGAAACCATTCGAATCGTCAAACTTTGGATTTTTTCTACTAGCCTGTTTGGAGATAGTGGCTTCTTGGAGCTTAATGAAGTTGACGTGTTAACAATTATTGTTAACATATTATGTTTGGATTAGGATTTGAAATAGATAGTTGGACTCTTTCTTCAACGTCCTGCCTGTTGTAAAGCGTAGGCCTAATTACAACAGCTTGTTTTCATTTGACTATTTTATTTCATTTCATTACGTTTAAAATGGCTCTCCAATGTTTATAAATGATTCCTTCCCTTCCCCCAAATTTACTGCATAATTGAAGTAATTGTATTTCCAAAACATATTTTGAAACTGAAATGAAATACTGAAATTGATCTTTAGGAAATACATATTTCAGTTCAGAAAACACAGCCAATCAAATAGGGACTTTCTTAATAAAAAATCAACAGTCTGGCTACAATTTTTTTTTTTATATGTGTAACAATAACAGTTGGAATAAAAAAAAAAAAACAAGATTTGTATAAAGATGAATTAAGAGCAATAAACTGTTTGGTGATATAGCCTATGACAGATAATTAATAACAATGCAATGGAGTTATTGACCTCCACATTTTATCTGGTGCAAAAATATAAAAACAATAAAAATAGACTATATAGTTTAAATCATTAAATTAAAAAAAAATATTTACAAATATACAAATCTTACATTTACTACAACATACTAGCAGGTGCAAAAGAAACAATATTTGTGACATAACCGGGATTATAGTCATAACAAAAGCCACAATTTTTATAAGCGTTTTAATTTTTTGGGAGTTTTTTTATCTAAATCATCAGCTGCATAGATAGCTTCGTCATTATAAATATATAGAGTTTTTCTACAATAAATTCCTACCCTTTTCTTGCCTCATATTATTATTTTTGAGTTAGTAGAGTCTTAGTCATTTTTCGTGATAGCAGGTCAACAACATCAGGGGTTGTAAGCTGCCATACTATGACTAGAAACCTCAAAATCTTCTTTATTTAGTTGTGCTAGAATACTCTTTTCCATTTAGGGAATAAGCTGTTACCGTAGGTCTCATTGAAAAATCTAGACCCGGGACCTATTTTATTTTTCGTTTTGATGCCCCGAGAGAGCAAAAACACCATTCGTAAAAAATATATGTAATTTGTAATTTAAGTAATTTGGTTATAATTCATTTCCATTCTAGCTCCTGAGCTGTAATATTTAATGTGATAAATAGGTTTACATACCTTATAATCCGACAAACAGCTCAAATAGTAGGTTGTTTACATGTTTCGGCTTGTATCCACCATTGTCAAAACATTGCAGTTGGAAAAAAATACTTATCATTGTTTACTAATGTCCATAAACTTTCACACACACATACACGAAAGAATAAAAAAATAATAGGCCTATTACAATAAATGCACCTGGAGTCTACAAACTGTTATAGTTTGCTTATTTTATTTATGGATATGTGTTGGTAAATGTACACTCGTATGAATTATACGATACAATTTACATAAAAAACTATTATTTCTTCCCCAAATGGGAATAAATTTAGTCTGCAGGACTGCTGCGCAGGAGTACTTTGTTATGTATTTAATGTGACAGCAAATCGTTTTATTGTTTTATAGTGAAATTCTGTTTAGTTTTTGTTAAGAATATAAGTTGAATCGGCGTTAATTCATACTCGCCTCCCGCTCCAAATTCTTGGGTCGCTAGCGGCACGGTAGAAAATTGGTGGGTCGCTAGCGGCACGGGTCGCTTCTGGCACGACACCGCCTATAGTAGTAGCCTATATGGACAGTGGCACAAGGCAGATGACTTGTCACCAGCCAATCACACAATTGGCACACATTAAAATATGTAAGAGACTACAGTACCTCAAGCTGCAAAAAACTGCAACAAACACAATTCTTCTGGGAAATTATTATTGTAGTTTGGATGGCTGGAGTTAGTGGAGTTCTAATGTAATTTTTATTAGGTGGAGAATCCAAGCATTTTTTTTTTTCAATGAAAATTTGGTAGGTAGCAACTCTTTTTCACTTAAAACCCCTACGTTAAAGTGAGTTATTGTCTGAATTAACTAGTAAAGGTAAGAATTACCTGGTTACTGTCAAAATGATTTGTCGTAGTTTAAATTGACTTCAGCTGTTTCTTGCTGTGGATGGAGCACATCATCAGAATGTCAGCTATGATTTTTACAACTTTTTTCATTGTGTAGTTAGTCAGAAGTTTTAAACTATAACTATATTTGTCATATCCCATGTTATGTGTAAACTTTTCACAAACTCTACCATGAGGAATTTGTAAACATCATAGCTGACATTCTGACCTGATAATGTGTTACAACTGCAGCACGATACAGTTGCAGTCAATTTAAACTACAACTGATCATTTTTACAGTAATCAGGCAATTTAACACACTCACTCCCTGTGAGGAGGGAGATTTTACATACAAAGGAGAGAGACTTAACATACACAGGAGTGTGACGGCTGAGACTGAACTTAACTCACTCCCGTGTGTGGAGAGACTTAACATACAGATAGTGTGACGGCTGAGACTGAACTTAAACACACTCACTCCCGTGTGTGGAGAGACTTTACATACAGAGGAGTGTGACGGCTGGGATGGAACCTGTTAACACACTCACTCCCGTGTGGAGAGAAACCTTACATACAGAGGAGTGTGACGGCTGGGACTGAACTTGTTAACACACTCACTCCTGTGTGGTGAGAGACTGTACATACAGAGGAGTGTGACGGCTGGGACTGAACCTGTTAAACCTTTATTAGTCATTAAGTAGCATTAAGTAGTTTGCTTCATAGATAAATTTGGGGTTGGTTTATCCTTGGCTTTGGGATTTAAAAGACACAGCATGTTTGGGCTACAGAATATTTATTTAGAAGCCAGGATCCCAGTCCAGTGACTGAGGCTGCTGATGAGTGATATAACAGATGATGGTGTCTCCTGACTTGAACTGTAGACTGTGGTCCTCCAGTCGCAACCCACACTCCAGGTCTGTCTTGATTGTGTCTACTTCATTCTTCAGATGCCTCATCGAGTCAAGCTTGCCTGTGCAGTAATATACGAATACACAATCACTTTAGTTTTAATAGAACACAATTGATTAGGTGTCTGTCGATCCAGTCTACTAATAGACCTGCAAAGTTTTATTTAATAACCACTAAACACTAATTTTAAATAATTTATAAATAAAAATACTTTTAAAAATGCCACGTTTTTAAACGCACAAAAAAGTATAAAATAATGTATAGATATGTTGAGAGAATAAATACTTGTAATATTTAAAACGAAAAAATGTGGGGCGCATGATAATTTACAATTAACTTCACCTATTGAACTATTATGATCTATTGCATGCGCCCACGTTTTTCGTTTTAAATCTTACAAGTATTTATTCTCTCAACATATCTATAAATTATTTTAGGCTATACTTTTTTGTGTGTTTAAAAACGTGGCATTTAAAAAATGATTTTTATTTATAAATTATTAAGCACAGAGCCACTGGGGTGGTGCCCAAAAGGATTTTTGAGATAAGAATATGACTAAATATTAATCGGGAATGTGAGCTATCATCATACCAAATTTCAGCCCAATCCGTCCAGTGGTTTATGCGTGATTGAGCCACACAAACACACACACAAACTCACAAACTTTCAGATTTATAATATTAGTAAGTTTTTATAATTTTTAGTCTTTTTAATGTGTAAATATGTTAAATCTATTTTATATGGCCTGTTAAAACATAACCAAAACCTTATTATCTGTAATCACTAATCAGATGTTTTATCTTTACTTTGAATGCTTGTTTTATATTTTAGTGAATTTTTTCCCATATAGGGAATAAGGTATTACCGTAGTACTCATGGTAAGACCTGGGCCCGGGACCAATTTAATTTTTCGTTTTGAGGTCCCTAGAGGCCAAAAACAACATTCTTTCAAATTCATATATATATATATATGTCCGTTAGCACGATAACTGTAGCAAAAATGATCAGAGTTTGATGAAATTTGGTACAAACGTGTAAATCTACGTTTATTCTAACGAGTTTGCGATCCAGCATAATCGGACCATGGGAACGGGGGTTTATGAGGGGTTTTTTGGGGTAAAAATGAGGTTTTCCCATTTTTGACCCTAAAACAAAAAATTTTGCAATTTCTTTCTAAACTGTTTTGTAGAGCGTAAAAAAAGAATCAATTTAGTATATTGAAGCGCTGTTGTATGCCTAGCAGTCACGGAGAAAATTCAAAAATATTGTAATTTAAAATTCCCATGTTATTCTTATGGAGAAAATGAAAATTTGTGTAGTTTACTTGTTTATGGATATATATTGATAAAATTTGGCAAATTTATTTATTTCATCCTATACTATTGACGTATGGTCAAAAAATTTTTTACCTTCCCCATAGCAGCAAACCTAAGCACTCGTTAAATTTAATGTTATTTAAATAGGGAATAAACATGTCTTATTTATAGAAATATTTTAGTAAAAATGTAATCTTACATGTTGAAATTCACTTAGTCTGCAGGTTTGCTGCGGCGGGGGTATTTATAATATCTCGGGAGCAGAACCTGTACCTCTTAACCTCTGCTCTTCTGTCAAATTTAAGTATTTACAGCTGACTTAAATTAATTGATATATATATAGCCTATATATACATTCTTTCGTAGCCCAAGGGAAATATGAAAATTAAATTATATAATATTGCATTGTCATTCATTTGTGAGCTATGTTTCAAGTTTCAAGTCTCTAGCTAATAGGGATTTTCGTTTAAAATTGATATCAACATTTTTTAAGAAAGTGAGCTAATAAAAACAAGCCCATGGGGTGTAGCCCAAGGGAAATATGAAAGTTAAATTATATAATATTACATTGTCATCCATTTGTGAGCTATGTTTCAAGTTTCAAGTCTCTAGCTCATCGGAAAGTTAGTATAAAATTGATTGCAAAATTTGTACCGGACAAGAAAGCGAGCTAATAAAAACGTTTTAAAATAGCACATTTGTTTCTCAGTTATTAAGTTTGGGGAAATCTGTTTGCTTTCAAAGGAAGTCATTCTTTAGTAATAAAAACCATAACAAAATATATATTCTCATTTAGCTAATACCCATTAGCTAAATGAGAATATATATTTTATGCCTTTATGGTTCAACCACAGAATCAAATGTGGATAGTATATCAAAACTGCAAAAATGGGCAATAAGGATAATAATGAAATTGGGGTATTACAATAATGAAAACGGTGCAAACAAAACATCAAAAGATAAATTTAAAAATAAGGTATTTTAACAGTTTATCGACAGTAGGCTACATCTTAAAATACATCTATTAAAGCAAAACAATATTTAGAAAATTCTAATTTTAAAAGTCGTTTGATCAATACCAAACATTTAAATTAGGGATGGACGGGTCCCGAAATTTCGGGAATTTTTCGGGAAAAAATATTCCCGATAATCGGGACGGGATTACATTTGATTCGGGAATTTTTGGGACGGGATTTGGTCCGATCGTCGGCGATTTTGCCGCTTCGCGAGTGCCGATGACGCCACTAATGCGAGCTATAGGTCCACGAACGCAGGAGACGAAGTCATTTCGACGATTGCGCCGTGACCGCGTAGTCATAACGACGATCGTGCCGTGACCGCGAGTCATACAGACAATCACGCCGTGACCGCGGAGTCATAACGACGATCGCGACGTGACCGCGATTATTGGACCGACGATCGCACCGTGACCGCGAGTCATACCAACAATCACGCCGTGACCGCGGAGTCATAACGACGATCGCGACGTGACCGCGATTATTGGACCGACGATCGCACCGTGACCGCGAGTCATAACGAAGATCGCGCTGTGACCGCTGAGTCATACCGACGATCACGCCGTTACTGCGAGTCATACCACAGATCACGGTGAGAATGACTCCGTGGTCACGGCGTGATCGTCGGTATGACTCGCGGTCACTACGTGGTCGTCGGTATGACTCGTGGTCACGGCGCGATTGTCGGTAGGACTCCGCGGTCACAGCGAGATCGTCGGTAGGACTCCGCGTTCGCGCCGTGATGCGAGTTATACTGGCGATCACCCTGTGACCGCGAGTCATACCTGCGATCACCCCGTGACCATGGAGTCATACCGACGATCACGAGGAGAACGCGGAGTCCTACCGACGATCGCGCCGTGACCGCGGAGTCATGCCGACGATCGTGCCGTGATCGCGAGTCATACCGACGATCATGCCGTGACCGCGAGTCATACCGACGATCACGCCGTGACCGCAGAGTCGTACTGACGATCGCGCTGTGACCGCGGAGTCATACCGACGATCATGCCGTGACCGCGAGTCATACCGACGATCACCCCGTGACCGCAGTCATTTTGACGATCGCACCATGACCGCGAGTCACAAGTTTCTATAGGTACCTGTAAATTGTTACCCATTTTTTGGTTTTTATAGATCAGTGCCACAAACGGTAAAAATTGATTTTGTATGTCTTTTTTGGAATCTGCAATACTCAAGACTTTCTTTTTATGCACAGAAAAAAATCCCGTCCTGTCCCGTCCCAAACTAAAAATTCAATCCCGTCCATCCCTAATTTAAATCATCATCATTCCAATACTATTCTCTTCAGCGTTCTGTTCCCGTTGCGAAGCGGGGGAATGATTTAGTATTATATATTTAAAATCAATCAAACAAGTTGTCAAACAACTTAATAAGCCTTACTACAATTGCTCGAATTCAAGCACCAAGTTTTCATCAACTTATGTTTTTAATTCGCAAGACTTTCCTAATAAAAAAAATTGTTATACTATGGAAACTTACCTTCAAACAAAATTTCTTCATTCCTTACAACACGAAATTTGGCATTCTTTTTTAGAACTCCTTTCACACATCGACAACCAGCTACAGGAATTTTCTTTTTTCCTTCAGTTATAAGAAACTGTTCAAGAACATTCGCTTCACCTGAGAACATTACCAACTACTAAGCTTATACATTTCAAGATAAAAAGACATTTTTTACAAATCCCTTCTAACCATCCCCATAAGTCATCAAAAAAAAATAGTTGTTACAGGGTGCATTAGGTAAAGCATGACATTTGCTTATCTACTATTATTGCAATCACCTCACACAGTCACTAAAGTTTTCATTCAAAATTAGAAGAGGAGAAATAGTAAATTTTGTATTATTATTTTTACGAAGAAAATTATTTTTTTAATTTGCACTTGGATATTTATCAAATTATAAACTATTTTTAAAGAAGCTTCATAAAAATCTGATTTCCTTCTATCCAATTAGCTGGGAATGTGTCAAGAGGGTCTGGTTCTCTAAATTCTGGAGGTGTCATTTCCTCTATATACCAATGTAGAAAGAAACCAATGATCATAACCACAGTCATCTTCCAAGTAATACAGTCGTCATCAATAGGCTCCTCTGTTATTAGAAGTTTATCATCATCCATTTTGACACGGAACAATTGTTCTTGGTGAAAAAACCTTTGGGTAACTGTTATCGCACTAAACTGATAAATAGATATACTTGAAATTTATCTTGGGTGCATATTATGATAGTAGTATCCATTCATCAACAAATCTCATTATGTAAATCTAAATTGTAATTACATTTGGTTATTGTTAAACTTGAAAAAACCTAATTATTACAGTTTTTAGAACTCCAATCAACCATAAATCTTGTTCAACATACCTAAACGTTCTTCAACTTCAACTGTCGGAAGTATCTTTTCCATTTCTTCTTTAAGGTCATCAAACAGTTTATAGATAATATTATGCTTTTTAACAGCCACTCCATTGGAAGCAGCTTTCTCTTCAGCATCTTTCAGAACTCCAACATTAAAAGAATATATAATGGCTAAAATAAAAAATACAACATTGTTAAAATTAAATAACAATTATGAACATTTCAATACCATTGTATGATGAATAACAAATAATAAATATAACTAAACATAACACATCAACACATAATTAGTTGAGGTGGTCTACTCCTGAAAATAACAAAACGGACAAAGATATATCTGATACAGTAAGTGCATGGATCCTAGCAACACTGATTCCTTATAGCCTAATCTTTCAACTTGCAGGATTTTTATCCCTGTTGTGGGGTATGGAGAGTGGAATGCATGGAAACGTCTGGTATGTAAAGATGGAATACAAACAATTGAACATAGTTAGTTATTTATTTACAATAATATTAGTCAGTACTTATTGTACTTATTGGCAAAAAACCTATATTTGGATGGAAAATCATAAATGCACTGTCAAATAATCTGAATGAAGAATGAAACAGATAACAAACCGAAACAAAAACTTCAGGACGGCTTGTGGAACGACCTGTTTATTATATACAAGATTTTATGACCAAATATAAAAAAATTAACCTCTTTAAAGCAAGGACTACTTGTATTTTAGTGATACCATTGTATTTCTTTAAGGAATCATAAATACAGCAGGCATCAGGTAACCATTATGTTTTGTATTGCAACACATTACCCAGATAGCAACAGTCCTTGATTCAAGGGCAACTTCGTTCTTGAATTTTCCTTAAAAATTCAAGATGATATTTTTGGCCTGATTCAGGACTGTTCCAAGGACAGTGAATCGTTTTGGTACTCCGGCTCCTGTTTATTGCCTGATTGTTCCTTGTAGATTCAACGGTTGTTTACCGATGCCACCGCAACGCAGCGGTAGCGCTCCCCTTAAACTACCCTCGCCTCAACTCCGCCATTTGCAATTTAGCAGTCTTCTAGTAATCGCTTGAACTCTCGTGCTCCTCAGATTTCTTTTTGTTTTAAGTTTATATAGTTATTCTCAGTTAAGTGCTTATTGGACTTCTTCTAAACTAAAGGTAAGTTCTTCAAATACAACTGTATTCATTACGGTATAAGAGTTCATTATTTCACTTGCTACAGGAACAAAGTTACCATCTAGGCTACTCCTGTCTCTAGGCTTTGATTTTGTCATGTAGGCTATGAATTTGATCCTAGGATTATTTTCAATCCAACTAGAAACCGTTCACATGTTACATTGATTGTTTTATAAATTGCTCACTTATAATCGTAATAATCACAGGCCTAGGGCCTAATTTAGGCGAAAGTAGCCATAGCTAACTTCTTTAACCTCAAATAAAGTTAATCAAGCGCCACAATTTTCAAAGGTGTAACTTAACTTTCGACTTTCATAACTAAACTAAACTTAGGCCTATACCTATTTCAATATCCCACATGCGAGACTGTGACCTAGCCTGTGTGTATATTAGACCCTACAACTTACAGTGTGTAATTTATGTTAAGGCTAGGCTTGGCTATATTAAGCTATGTTTGGATTCATAAATGTTTTAATTTCTACAAGGTAGCCTGAGTAAGGCTTTTAAATATTGGCCTAGGCCTAACATATGATAAATAAATCCCTATACATATTTGCATTTAAGTAGCCTAAGTTACTGTGGGTAAAAATTGTACTAGGGACCAGTAGTCTAGTCTTAAATGAATGTAAATTTAACACAGGGTTACTTGTTAAGCGTCGTATAGGCCTATGTAACTTACATGAAAGCCAAGTAAAAAATAGGTTAGGAAACTTAACCTTTAGCCTACTAGGCCTTACTTAAGTTATAGCCTATCTACTCTAGGGGGTTGAGGTAGGCTTCATGCAAAGTCTAGAAGTATCGATGACAATTAGGCTACAACAGCCGAAAAAAGTAATATCGGTAGGCTAATAACTTAGGTAGGGCCTATTGGCAATAGGAAGTCTGGATTCCGTTTCAAATAACTTATTGTCTGTCATACAATTCGTTATAGGCCCTGTCTCTAATAGATAACTTATGTGTCTTTTTAGTTTAGGCACACGGTATATGAGGACTTTCATTACATTCATCCGTGACCGCGGCGTCATACCGACGATCGCAGGCCTAGGACCTGCCACAGTTAAGCTTAAAGAATTCAAACAAATAAAATAATTTATCCTCTAGGTATAACATGTACAACAATGCATAAGTTATAATATTTTAAGACATTTTTATTATATGGGAAAAAAACATTAGCCTAAGACCATCTAATTGAAAAGCCCTCTTCTCTTTTAATATAGGTACCGACAGTAACCCTTGAGCTCACATGTAAACTAAATACATCTCCCTAAGAACTTACTCGGCTTTTAAATGTTTCAATTTTGATTGCCCTTTTAACTGTCAATGGGGTTAAGGGTACCCTATAGGCCTAACTTAGACCAATTGTTAATAATAATTTTTATTGTTGTCGAGCATTGCGATTCTTAAATTTTGTATTGACTTAGGTACCTTATTGAATGGTGCTAGGCTATGAAATTAACACAAGAAATAAAGATTAGACTTGTAAGGTGAACTTATTCCTTAAAGACTTGTGGAAAATAAATCTGTGCGACATTAATGTTTGGTTGAGTAAAAAATAAATGACTGTTCATCGTGCAAAATAAAGCTGGTTGTAAGTTACCGGTAACTTAACTTAGTTGTTTTCCAGTTCACTTTTCTAAGATAGGGCCTACCGTTGCAGCTATTGTTCCGCCTAACAGCTTGATGTATAGTTTTAAACATGTGTTCATTAATTTATTGTTTATGTTTACCAATTTTGTAAATAGAATGGATTGAGTAAAATAATGTATCTATTGAATTGAATATAATTATTATACAATACAGCTTGACCTCTTTTTGGCCATTATGTTGAGGGTGTGTCAGGCTGTAGACTAATTCCTGAGTCTTAACTCTCATTTTATTACATCCAAACCAAAGCTTGGCCTTATGAGACATATCCAATGCTTTTTATTGTGCTTATTTGGTGAGGGGCCTTGTTCAAAGATCGCTATATCATTGGTGAACAATAAAATGTCACCCATGAGTCCAAGGTCATTTATTATCTCCAAAAAAGGGTAAGACCGAACTGAACCTTGCAAATTAAACACCTTGTGCTTCAGTTTCCAGCCTTTAGTTGCACCATTAAGTTTGTTTTTTTTGTTTTTATGTATTATTGTTTTGTATACAATTTCAGCTGAGTTAATACGTTAACATATTTTAGACTACGAAGGTTGTTCAGTAAATAACAGTCGCTTCCATGTTTACCACGGTGCATCCCCAGTGTGTGAGTGTGTGGCCATAAGCTCAACTCCTGACCAGAATAAAAGAAGAGTCTTGCTGCTAGGTTCTAATGCATTTTATTCTAACAGCACTTTACTTTAATAATACCATTTTCGATAATGAGCCTAATTAAAACATTTCTTATAAATAAGTAAATAGAACATGAAGTAGTATGTTGAAATAGGCCTAGTCCATGTTCAAAACAAATTACATTTAATTAGTAACTTCTTTTGGTTCAACACACGTTTGTTATTATTTTATTCAGAAAATCAAAGCCTTTGCAATTTATTATTCAACTAAAACTTTTTCCTTTTGTAGGTACAGTTCTATTGATGTGGACATGGACCGTAAAAAACCTTTCTTTGATCTAACTCGATCGGGGAAATATAGGCGATTGTCAAAACTAAAAAATGCTGGTGGCCATTCATCAAAGGCTACTATCGAGCAAGATATGCCTATAGCTTTTAGTTACGATGACAGCACGAACAACACCACTCTAGGCTCGCCTATGAATTCAAATTTGAATTCCACTGATGATGAAATTTATAGGCCTGATGTAGATTGTAGCCATTCTGCAGAACTTTGGGATCATGAACCATCTCCATCAGAAAGTGAAGATGAGGAAGATATTTTTGAAAATGATTCCAATACCGGTAGTCAAAAACTTCACGAGGATTTAAAAAATTGGGCCTTTAAGTTTCATATAACAAATATTGCTTTATCTGCTCTTTTACTCATTCTTAGAGAAAATTGCTTGGTAAAAGATTCATCGATGCCGCTTGATGCTCGGACATTGCTTAGGACTCCTTCATCAATAAACACCATTGAAGTAGTTCCTGGTATTTACTACCACTTAGGATTCCAACAAGGTCTAAACAGAATATGGCATAAGGTTACTGAAACAGTTTCTAATATTCAGGTCTTGGTGGGAATCGATGGTCTGCCATTATTTCGAAGCAGTAGTGGGGAGTTATGGCCAATTCTTGTTTCAGTTTTAAATATACCTTCCATATCATCAGAAGTATTTCCTGTAGGAATATATTATGGGAAAAAGAAACCCTCCTGTTGTAAGGATTTCTTGAAGTCTTTCATAGATGAAATAAATTCTCTGATGGAAGAAGGAATTGTCATAAAAGGAAAGAAATTATGGGTGATTTTGAAAGGGTTTTGTTGTGATGCTCCAGCGAAAGCTTTCATTTTAGGGACTAAAGGCCACGCTGGTTATAGCTCGTGCACTAAATGTAAGCAAGAGGGTCACTATACAAATAATAGAGTTGTCTTCCCTGATATTCCTGATAGGGAATCTATGCAGTGCCGACTGCGTACATCTGAAGGATTCCGTAGACAAGAAGATCCAGATCATCACAACTATGAAAGCCCCTTGACTGCAATTACTAATCTTGATTTTATGTCCGCTTTCCCCTTAGACTACATGCATATGGTGTGCCTAGGAGTAATGCGCACCCTAATGTACATTTGGATTTTTAATCTTCCCCACAAACTGCCTCAACGATTAGTTGATGAAATATCAACTAATCTAATTCGCCTTCAGCGCTTCATTCCAAGTGAATTTTGCCGTAAGCCCCGCCGTTTGGACGACATCAAGAGATGGAAGGCAACGGAGTTCCGCCAGTTTTTGTTATACACAGGGCCAGTGGTGTTAAAAAATATTCTTCCCCCTCAGCAGTACACCAATTTTTTAGAGCTCCACGTTGCAATCAGAATCCTGACAAATCCCAAACATTGCTTAA